ATACGCAGCACATTAGCATTGCAAACACTATCAAAAACATGACACGATATTTCATTTTCCCACTTTCCCTGCTGTTGATATTGACCCCGTGTTCCTCAATACAATCTCTTCGTTTGGATGTGACTGATTTTGGAGCTGTGGGAGATGGAATAACGGAAGACACAGAAGCCATTCAACAGGCGATTCAGCATCCCACTGACCAACACAAGACTGTGATTTTGCCTGCCAACAAAACCTTTCTTTCCGCACCGTTGAATCTGACAAGCAACATGATTTTTCAAGTAGATGGAACATTGAATGCCATTGTCAATACAACTCTGGACTTTGATAGCAAATGGCCGCAATTGCCACCTTTGCCCAACTATGCATCTGGGGAAGACAATGGTCGCTATTTGCAATACCAATCCTTTCTATATGCGCACTCAGCCACCAATCTTACCATTCAAGGAACAGGCACTATTGATGGCAAAGGTCAATGGTGGTGGTATGCCTTTCAGCACTTGAGTCACACACTTCCAGCAGGACGCCCCAACTTGGTACAGATTGTCAACTCGACTATGATTGAGTTGAAAGGAGTGACATTGCAGAATTCTCCCTTTTGGACCATCCATCCCGTCCTTTGCGATCAGGTACACATTCATCACATCAAGATTCGAGCTCCAATGTATGCCCCAAATGTGGATGGAGTCGATCCGGACTCTTCCTCCAATGTCCTGATTGAAAACAACGATATTTCTTGTGGGGACGATCACATTGCCGTCAAGTCTGGTCGATGTGGATTGGGAAACTCTTGGATTGATGGACTCAAATGCCAAGAGGATCCGAGATTTGCCTCTGGGATCTTTCTCATGTCCAATTTGACGATACGATACAACATTTTTCGAATTGGCATGGGAATTGCCTTGGGGAGTGAAATCAGTGGGGGTGTGGAAAATGTAGACATTCATCACAATGAAATTGGAGTCTGCGAACATGGGCATGATAATCCAGATCGGTCCTGTGGTTGGGGACATGCATTTCACATCAAGACTACACTGACACGAGGCGGCTACTTTCGAAATGTGCGGTTTGCCAACAATATCGTGTACAACAATACAGGTTTTGTGTTTATTGAGACGGATTACCAATCCAGTCATCAAGTACCACCGCCTTATCCGACTACACAAATCAAGAACATTTCGATTATTGGCAATTCAGCCATTGGAATGGCACATGCTGTGACTATTGGATGCTCCAAGTACATGCCATGTGAGGAAGTTACAGTTTTGGACAATTGGATCGCGAATGTCCCTGCGGACCAAAATCCTTACCAATGTTCGAATGTGACTACCTACACAGAGGCGCGAAACTTTCCTCCTGGACTTGGGGATTGCCTTCACAATTCCAATGCAATGCAACACGTCCTTGACAGACAAGAAGAAGAAGAAGAAGAGGTATCGCCAATCTGAAGGTTCCGGCGCCTCTCTGCCAAACATGAGAACGTCTTGGATCTCTTCTGGTCAATACCCTTTCAAGTCTTGGGGTTTCCGGGAAAAGAAGTTCATGTCTTGGGTTTTTGTCACACCACCATAGTAGAGGGTCGGGTTGCCTCGTTCGAATCCGATAGAAACGCAAGCCGTACCCACTGAAGTCCCGGGTTGGTTGGAACAGACGTCGGCGGAACAACTCCCTTCACGAACTCCGAATCGTAGTAATTTTACTAATGTTATAGCGTTTCGTGGTAAAAAACGTTGTTTCGCGTGGCAGGATATCAAATTTTTGTTTTTTCTCCCACGTCATGGCGGTATCAGGAATTGTTTGGTATTGATTCGTACCGGGCCCAAGGCGTTTGTTCTTTGGCATCAATTCTCAATCCATCCATGCAATTCCAATCCTGATTTCAATCCTATCTTCTCCCATAATTTTCAACTCCAGAACATCATTACGATAAAAGCAAAAAAAAACAGTATCATCATGTCATCATCCAACGAACAAAAGTCCCTCTTTGACGCCAATGCCACTACAGCCAGTCCTCTAAAATCTCTGACCGGTATGGTGATTGACAAGCTGAATTTCAATATTTGTTCTTCCTACTTGGAACGTCAACTTGAGTTCGAGATGAATCAGGGTGAAGATATTTCAGCCAACTATGGTGTCGTGGAGATGAAGCAACATATGTTCGATGAAGCATCAGTTGTGGAAAGCGTCACCAGCCGAGCTTCAGAACCATTCCAAAAGTTCACCATATGAAAGAAGGAAGAACGAACACAAGCAGAATCAAAACGGAAGCAAGGAGTGAGGAGGTAAAACAGGAATGCCACCAATGTCTCCTTTCCATTGGAAGTCGACTTCTGCCCTGGAAAGGGACGTTGTGGTATAGCTATGGGACAGGAAGCTACTGAATTAGCATCGGTTTGTTCGCCGTCCCTTTGTCTGATGAGCCTGGTGTGAGCCACGAAAGATCGCAATCTTGTGTGATCCGCAAGTTCTCAGATGTATTACATTGGTGCATATACGATAGAAGATTAATATGATAGAACATTCAGCTAAGAACTGAAACCAATCATTGCTTTGACATAGGAAAGACTGAAATTGTATCTAGCGATGCCTAATATTCAGGCGATGTATGTTTGGGGTAATATTCAAGGGAAAGTCGTCTCAGTGGAAACTACAATACACAATTAGAACGGCTTGTCTTCGCTGGAATATTCAAACACTGTAAATCCCTTTTTGACAGTGGATGTTGTGGAAAAGTCGGCCAAGAAGGACAACATAAGTTCAATGTCTCGAACTGATTTGCGGCAGAAATATCTACCCATCGCCGCATCCATCCCAATCGTGTTGGGATAATCCTTTGCTTCGTGACAGGCATTGATGAATCGTCCAAGAGTATCTGGTGTTGGATAATCAATTCTCAGTGAACACGGTGTAGTCGTATCCAATTCTCCTTCCTTGGATTTGAGTATTGGTTGTATGGCACGTAGCAAGACATCAAAGGATCCTCTGATTGTATATCCTTCTGTATTCTTTGATTCTGATGCATCTGCACAAGTTCGGATGCATGCTTCGCCTCCTCCTAGCCGATCAATCAAGTCATGGTATTCTTTGGATAAGGGTTCTGATACTTCAAAGTAAACACTGGCTTCTTCCACCGGCGTTGGCATGGAGGTGCAGTTTCTTCGCATTGCCTGACTGATGACATTCTCAATTGTTGTCAAAACTTCGATCGTTCGGTGAGCATGTACCTGAAAGTCAGAAATTCTTTCATCTAGATTCCGTCGAGCAGCTGCGCTCCTTGGGGATACCGGTTCTCTGGAAGGAGCTGCATCCCGATACAAACGAACGGCATAGTTTGTTTCGCTTCTGTACAGTAGAACATCCTCCTCCAACAGCTGAAGCCACTCGTGACTCTTCACATTGGCACGAAAAGTAAAGCAGTGCTTTTCCCCATCCACAAGATCCAGAAACTTGGCCTTTGAATCAACGGAAAGCGAAGGATCGGTGTAGTTGACCATGCTGCACAGCCTCAAGTCCAGACAAGCCTGATCAGCCGCCTCCATTAACTCCTGAAAGATCTCCAAGTTAGAAACTGTTGTTTGTTGTTTCGTCAAGACCTCAATAAGATGACGAGCAATGCCCAAAGACCAGTCTGGTTTCCGTATCACTGCTTCAGACGCCTCGATGGTACCATGACGAAAGCAATTGTCAAAGAACACGGAAGACTCTCGTATCTGCGAAGCTTGTTCGTTGGTGATGCCTAAACACTC